CTTGGATTACATGGGGGCGAAAACAAGTTACGAAAGCCATGGAGCTCTATAAAACTTCATAAAACGCCTGGAGCGGAGGAGGGTAGTGTTAATGGCGCCGCTATCTTGCACACAGAGACCAAGTCTCGCGTAATTTCCGCCATGAGGCCATCCACCCCTCCGGGCCAAGCGAACATGCCAGACTCGCTTAGGAGCACAAAAACACTGACTTGTACTAGCTTTCAATACCATTGTGTAGACGGATTGCGTTTAAAATATCACTGCGGTTTGACTGGGTGTAGTAATGCATGGCGCATTCTAACTGGGGCTTGATTACCTTCAGGAGCTTCACCATTTTTGAATGCGTAATATTTTGGACCTGCCTCTGTCGGTGCCTATGGGACTTGCAGATAATGAAACTGGACCCTCTTAGTTTACGACATGTGGCAGAATTCCTGATGGGTTGTTTCGTGACTTACTCCTTCATAATGGAGAAGACAGGCGTAATTAGGCGCTCTCATCGTCACCGGGAATTGAGTTTATGGGGCATTCTAGCGGGTCATAACTGGAGATACTTTTTATTTTCCTCAGTTGTTGATCTTCTTGATGTCTTTGGGGTATCGAGTATGCCAAAACAGACAGCAGGGTGAAGGTGATGATCGTATTTCAGATAAGGAGGAGGGATTGTTATTGGTTTCCCCCTCTGAGTCTGGAGGTTTGTCGTTTTCATGCAAAGTATGGGGCTAAATGTGTACCAACCTTACTGACTATAATGACCCCCCCTCCAGTGCACACTGAACGGAAACTTGAGGTTGAGTGCTCTTCTCTAGCTTTTGACCTGATGATAGGCTATGGGGTATCGTAGTGTGAAAAGTTTAAATTCCAAAAATGCTCTTCAACTCCATTGCGTGCACCAGGACCCTTTAAACGGCCACTACGTCTCGCCTAAGCTCTCGGGTTCATGGGGGGAATAGTGCAACCGCTTAGCGTTGGTGCGGAGGACATACTGGCTGAAGCCTTACAGCTTTACACGCACAAGAAAACTAGAATTCAAAGGCTTAAGTAAGATTTGCTACCACTCTAATCTCGCTATGGATCTTGTGCCCATATTGTAACTGTAACTAGCTACTTGTTTCTATGTTTCCTATTTTCTCTACAGGAGCAGTCCATATTGATCGTATAGGAAGAGTCGGACTTATCATTTTCCTGTCCCCTTTTGTGCGCTCTCGTTCCTGAGGCCGTTGAGAGATAGAGCGCATTAACAACGAAGACGCTCCGCCTATGCGATCAGCGTGGACCGCGTCTTTAGTTGGATCATTGTTAGAACCCTGCGTCGTCTTTCAGCAAGGGGTTACCCTGGTTACCTGTGGATTAAATGCAATACCTATTATCGCACAGGAGCACAGTGTTGTCTGTGGGCAATGCTGGATTCATTTCGCATGAGCGAGGCGTGCTCAATGGTTAAGTCTTACATTTCAATTAAAAGGGAAAGATGTAATTTCATTTCTACTCGCCATGGGAATTAATGATGACCATCGTGTGAAGGGAGCACACTTCGCATGCCGTCCGGGACCAGATTTTGGACCAGATCCTTATCACAAAGGGGTAAGGTGGCAAATGCTATAATGGCCGTTTGGGTAGAAAGAAAACGAGCGGTTTTCAAGTAAACTTGTACCGTAGTGATTGGCAGTAGAAAAATCTTTCTTAAGAGCCATCCCTTCCCTTTTGCCGCAAGTAGGATCCTACAATAGAAGGAGATGATTTTTTTTTTTTTTTTTTCTAATATCCTCGCGATTCCTCAGCTTTACTTACCTGCTTGCCTCTGATTCGCCAAATGATTTCAGTCAGGGAGGAGAATAGATGGGAGTGCAGGACCTCTGTGATGGTCCCTGAACTGCTACCCTATGTCCTGATGGAAAAGTTAGAGGCAAGAGAAATATAACCAAAAATATATAAATCAGACCAATACAATCAGAAATAGAATAGAAAGAATATAAAGGTGTTCCATTTATAGAAACGAGAGGGTTGAGATAACTCTCAGTAAGAAAGAGCAGCAAAAAACACTGCACCCGCTCATAGATGAAACCCACATTTTGTCCCGAGTTTGTACGACCCAGTTAACTCATATCTCCACACCTCGCCCCATAGCACAGCTGATTCAAACCCGATTGAGAGAACATCTCCGATTCGTACAAGTGACAGATTTTCATGCTTTTTCGTGCCTGCAGCTTACGTTTTTCACTTAAAGCCGAGCATGGAGGCGGACGTCGGTAGGGGCGGAAGCTCAGTGGACTAAAGGAGAAACCACTGAATCCATATTGCGGCAATACAACGCCCCTGCCTAGAAGTTTTTTGCGGGCTACAAGGTTATTCGTTCCGATACCTGATCGCGAGAACGTGCCTTTAATTTCAAACCCACTAAAATCTATCCCATTCGAGTACGAAAAGATTCCAGATATTACTGCATGCGAATTTGCAGACCATTTCACCATCGAAATGAGCCGCTGAACATGCCATGTATCATTACCCATTAAGACTCAATCACTGGGTACATAAAATCTTAAACAGCTTGCTGGAAGCTTGCATTAAGCTGGCTTGCCAGCGTCACTTCATGTAGCGAGGACGGAGAGGGGGAGGTCGTGCAACATTGAGGGATAGGCGGAGGGGGTCATATAGTGCTGCAGTAGCCTGCAAAAAAACCGTTTATTGATGGTTGACTTTCTGGTTTTCCTGCTTTCACTGGCGTTATACCTAGTACTGAAAAAAGAGGTTTTGAGAGGTGGGGGAGGTCAGGTTTTGCAAAATTTTCCCGTAGAGATGGGGCCAGCGTATTTCCATGCTCAATCGCTAAGAAAACTCCCTGCCGCTACTCACCTATCACTTTGACGAATAGATCCTGAACGGGAAAAAGGAATGTTTCTGCAGTTCTAGGTACTGTAGGAGACATTGGCATTAATGGACGCATATAGGCTCACAAAATCATGGATAAGCTGTGACGTTTTCTGTTTTATCAACGCTAAATCTTCCCACTACTATGTCGTCATGCCACCCACGCAGCAAACTTTCATTCCATTAAGCTAACAGAATTTGCAAACACTTTCTGCAATTTTGATTCTCCTGATAGTTTTAGGAACGAATGAATGGGTTCGTTAAGCGCTGAAATTGAATTCAGGACCCCCGAGCTCTCCGAGTTTCGCGAAACAAGTACACAAGTCCGTATCCAGTGTGAATATAAGGTGGATCGCTTCAGGAATATAACATTCTGAGGTTTAGTGGCACATTTCGTGATTCCTGGCTGTGGGTAATGTGGCCCGAATATGAGATTGTAGGTGGAAGTTTACTTGACAGCTGACGAAAATGTAAGAAACTCCACAAGAGAAGCCTTTTGTTATGCAGATGAATTTGAGTTTACGAGTGCGAAAGAGATGAACGGTCAATAGACACTTGTGAGCGCCGCGAAGAGAGGCGAGGCAGGGAAATGATTAGGAGACATAAGAAGAACGAGGGCAACAGACAAAGAACCTTCGATACTTGTGTGGGGCCGCCAATTGGTGGACGGGTCATATGACAAACTAAGGACCTCAGCGCCCTAGTCACAAGCCTTTGTCCCGCGAAAGTGATGGGAGCTCAGAGATGGACCGGGTTACCTTGGGCGCGGAAAGAACCCTATCAGGTAATCCATGAAAATTTTTCAAGCGGTATTTCGCTGCGTGGCGTAAACTCCGCCCTTGGGATTGGACTCACCCATTGGTCTGAATTGCGGTGGATGTCTGCCTTACTGGAATAGGACATCGAAGATCGAAAAAAGGAACTCTCGGAATTTTTTCAGTTGCCGCTATTACACTTGGCAGCGTGGTAGGCAAAGTGAACGCGCCTTACCACTGGCGCGGGCGGCCGCGATTCGAATCCCGGGCTCGAACACATCCGCCAGGCCACCAAGCCGTCTATCCTCCGGGATAACTTGGTACCAGCACATCGTCTCTGGGAGGATAAAACGCTGACTTGTACATCGGCTGGCCACCGCAAATCATTGTATAGGCCACATCGCATTCAGTAAGCCGCTACGATTCTGAATGGAAGTAGAATCGCATGCAGCTCCACAAAAGAGGATTGATCAAAACGGCGCTAGACTTTTATTCCTTCTTTTATAGCTGGCATGTCGGAGGGGGATTCTGAGCATACTGGGAGCAGAGTTGCCTTCCAGGTTCCTTGGGCCGTCCACGGTTAACCAAGTTCGTACCGTAGAGCTGGAATATCTTTCCAGAACCTTTCATAGGTGAACGTCCCGGAACCTCATTTGTTCTCTCAGAGGTGTGAGAGCTCGGGATGTTTCTTCAGACACTTGTGGGAATCACCTTGTATATTGATATTCTTCGGCCGTTTCCATGGTGTTTTTCATACTGCGTATCATGCGAATTTCCTGTCAGCACACGGAGCTTTGCTGAGAAGCGCTCTATTTATTCCATGAAGTCTTCCTCCAAATATTATTCTCTGCTGACTGAAAGCTATACATATAGCCCCAAAAACAGATAATAGCGAGGTTCCGTTTGCTGCTTGCCGCCCATCCTCAGTTTCATTAGTTTCGAAAGGGCAACTTCTACGAATAGAGAGAATCCCAGTTTTAATTTGCAGGAGTTCAGATAGTGCAAGCATGAAACAAGGACTGCACTTCATCGCACGCTGAAAAACATTGATTGAGGTTTTCAAAGTGCTTTCCGTGCTTGAGTGTTGCTTTTTCCCATAATCCAACTCCGGGTAGAAGGCTTAAATGGACGACCTACTCGTCCACTAACCGAGCGAATTACTCTCCGATAATTCTGGTATAATTGGCAGGTGCTATTTTATAGGTGTTTGAGTGCGTCAAATGGACCAGGTAAGGGGCAGTGACAAGTGGCGTCGCTATCACAGAAATGGTTCGGGACCAAAACCTGGATCGATTCGCGCAGAATATCGTCTTTTGTTCGTCTGGGGTGTCCAATTCGATTGCAGGCTCGCCCGGGGCAAACTCTGAAAACTTGTGTATGGGTGGCCCAGCTAAGTGGGTAATTCTTCAGTGACCATTTGCTTGTCGTCGAACTCAATTCCGACTACCCAGGTCCTTGCCACTTGTGAAGTAAATGGGCAGCTGCAGTAGTGAGCCACTTTCTCCGATCAAATATGCTCGGGAACGACGCTGGAGGGCCCTCTCTTTATCACCCCCCCCCCCCCCGAGCTGCCTACCACACGCCTAACCAACAAACGCTCTACTTGTCTGCGTCATGTGATTTCTAGTTCCTCTGTACCGCTGAATGCAATGCATCTCTGGCGATAAAAAGTTCAGACGATTAACAGTCCCTTGTTGGGATGCGCCTTGCATCCTTCTTCGTGCAGAATCTAGGAAATCGACTTGTGTGAACTCGCGATGACTTGCGGACCAGCCCTTAGATAAATAGTGTTTTTATTCTCACAGGCGAATCTGATGCCATTATACCTTCTCTGCTAGGACTGAGGCTTGCTTGGCTCAGACGTAAGCCGACGCGAGCATTCAAGCGCCTAACTGCACAGTGGAGCAAACCACTTGTCACTTGCATCCCTCCGCCCCAAAATGCGAACACCATTACGACTTTGAATTCCTCTAGAACATGCTGGGTTTATCTCTGTTTATTTTCTAGGATGGAATTTTGGACTGCTTCTGGGTGCATTCATCATCTCTGCCATAAACTGCTCTCCATATCCCAGATCTGACAGGGTGTGGCTGCGTACTTCATTCTGACATGGCGTGAGATGTGTTTTTCTGGAAATATTTCCATTTGAGACAATTGTCATCCTTTCTTCGCGTTGGAAAAGACGTGACAGCTGACTCAGAACACAAAATCTTCACCAAAAGCGCAGGTTGTCCCCTAATGTTCAAATAAAAATCAACACGGGCTTGCTATGTCGGGATATGGACTGTATCTACCCTGCTCATGCATTCGCGTCTTTGCTTCTTATCTTTTGCAGACTTTTAAACAACTAAGTTTGGTGCTGTTCGGCTCAGGGGAGGCATTTAGTATTCGGTAGTTTACTTTTGTAGTTCCTATTGAACTCCTCCCTGCCACCTTGCTGAGTGAGACCTGTGAACTCTTGTCAAGTGTAAAGGAAGCTCACGCTACTGCATGGCTTCACAAGAGCTCACAGGTTTCCACAGGAGGCATCAGCAAATCGCTACCCCCCCTACCAAGCTGAACTGCGCTTGAATTTCTCTCCTCTCATCTATGCTTCACCGATTCTTCGATTCGAGACAATTTTCGTGTGGTTTCCTTCTTATTTTATAGTCATTTTTGATGTTTCAGTTCCGAATCGGCATTCTTTCCACCTGTGAAACTGTCGCCCGATTTCCTTACTGCGTACAATACGAATGATCCATTCGCAACTTCGATAGCGAACGAGAACGAACAAAAATCTTTGATGCAGTCTATCAATGCGGATGATATCGTGAAAACCGCGAAAAAGGTGAGCGATTCTGTTTGGGACCTTATGTCCTTTCTCGTTTTGCAGAGGGAAATATTCCTCTGGTCTGGCTTTTCTTGTTTTACGATTCGTCGGCATTATGCCCATCCTAGGCCTGGCAGTTTTCTTGGGCAATAACTGAGAATCCATTTGGAGGCAGTCCAACAGAAGATGAGGTAGTGGATTGGTTTAGGGTGGTGAAGGGCGAGGGGGTGTCGTATTTTGCAAAGATCTAGCGACCGGCAGGACAATGTCCTGTGTCTATGGTCGACGGAAAAGAACTGCAAGCTTTCCGCCATTGGCGAATTTATTGAATTATCAGATGGGATCCCTCAAAGAATTTTTCGTAGCTTCTCAACGTGTCTAAATTCACATATGTAAAAAAATTTCAATGCAACGTGAGTGTCTAGCAAAATATTTCAGAAGTTTCTGAGAAGAGCGGCATATTTCCTTCTCAAGTAAGCGGAAGCTCCGCTCGGTTTTCGTTGCAAAAGCTTCGAGAAGTTATTAGGGGCACGCTGTACGTTGGGATCAGTGGGGGGGGTCCTCATTTGCCTTCGAAAGGATGTTTTTGTACTTTTTCTCGTTTCCTCCTGTTTCAAGAACATTTATACCCACTCCCCCGTTGACAGCAGTCCTTTGCCGGATAACAGAAATTCTCGGTAAACCCACCGAACGTGCAAGGCAGATGGGGGAAGTGGGCGGGGAGGGGGCAAGGGGGAGAGAGTAGGTCGTACCAGAGGAGCAACTTCTGGAGTGGATCATATTTTACAAATATCCTCCACGGCAGATTGTGCCTTGAAACTCATGGACAAATGCAAACGTCCACTGTGCGAAACGCTCCGCCGTCTGAGGCCGACCCCCCACTGACTCCAGCACTTGCCTCTCTTATTGACCATCACCGCTTCCGCAGCCACGCCCCCGACTCCCTCAGGAATAGACTGTATCTATTTACAAAAGCCCAGGTCACCGTTTTTGATCGCTTTGGGCTTTCTGCCTTCTTCAAGTGCCCTGTCGACACCGCTATGACGAAATTTGCTTGGGGGGGGGTGGAGGGGCTATATTCAGTTACTAACTGTGTGAGATCAGTTTTAACACAGCACTTACTGGCTGTAGAAGATGAGGGGTAAGAGATGGGGTGATTTCTCTCGCAGATAGAATAGTTTCCTTGTCGATGATCCCGTTCATCTACTGACCCTCTTCAATATAAGTTGATTCCTGTCCTACAGATAGTGTTTTTGACAATGAGAACAAATGAAAAGTAGTTTTCGGAAGGGTGTTCTTCTCATCAGGTAAATAAAGGAAGTCTGGCGGATCAAGCTCACTAATTTATCTAATGTGTTAACAACCTTTCAGTACCTTCACAGGGAGAGTCCCAGTTCTGATTTCTCCAGTTAGTGCGGGTGTTTCATTTCTGAGTTCCCTTTTCTTATTTACGAGTATGTGGCGCACCACAAGACATAATTCAATGAACAAATAAATAACTAAAATTCCGAAGTCATTTCAGTTGTTTTATTTTGCTTTATTTCTCACACCCCTATCCTTGCCTTCAGATATTTCGAATATATTTAGGCGCTTTTATCTTATTCTGTGTCAATCCAGAACTACACATTGGAAGACTGTCAAATAGCCTACCATGCCACCACTAATTCACTCATGCAGGTACGTAACTTACATCGCTTTTGGGACACTAGCTGTTTGTGAAGTTCCGCTGGTGGACATTCTGCAGGCCCCGCCCATTTTCTCGATCACTCCGCCCATTTTGTTCAAGGGTTCAATGGGTTTCTTGGACATTGCCATTTTCATCGAGTTCTCCATCATTAGAAGAACTCTATCAGGCATCATCGCACCGAGTACAACTTCTTTACGTATTTAACACACCTGACACCTGTATTACCTGACACTTACAGTATTTCCTAGTAAGCGTTGTGGCGCGTGGCGCCGCTTATCGAATGCACGATCTGGGGATCAGATCTCGGATAGGCTCCCCTCTTTGATGAGCTAGTCTTCCGTATCTACAGGGTCGGACCACAGTTGTCTCGAAGAAAAAGCACCAATGTATGGATATCCTGCACCCCTCAAAAAACTGCTCGGGAAAAATTGCATTCGAAATTCTTCCGCGATACTAAATGGGCTGGGCGTCTCTTAGTTGGGAATTTGGGCACTATTGAACTATTCCTACCCCAAAAACTCAAAAAAATTTTTCGCTGAAACGTTGCCTATAGATGTAATTCGATGCGCTGATCACGAATATCACATCCGTTTCAAGCGCTGGCGTCATTTGGCGCCATTATGCGCCAATTTGGCGCCCACCACTTTTTTCACCAAAGTTGATGAAAACTTGCATATGGTGGTTAGTTAACATCCTGATCACGAATATCACATCCGTTTCAAGCGCTGGCGACATGTGGCGCCATTATGCGCCAATGCGCCCACCACTTTTTTCACCAAAAATAATGAAAACTTGCATATGGGGGGTCAATCGACA